ATATATATTATATATTGAATATTTTATTTTGGTTTGTCATTTTAATTATGAAAATAATTATTTTGACATAAACTATTTAAAGTATATTTGTATACTTGTTTAAAATGATATTGGTATTTTTATTTGATTTAAAATTAATTTTATATTAATTTTTGATGTCAAATAAAATACACTTTGAACATTTTAGTGGAGAAGAATTTCAAGAATCCTTCTCACTTTTTATAATCAAACTTTCGGCCATTTGGGGTTGATGAGAATCAAAATTTTCTTTGATTGATTTTTATGTGGGCTAATTAGTTTTGTCATTTAGCTAATGATAAAAGTTAATCACATCTTTGTTTTATTTAAATTATTCATGCCATAAGCCACTTTGAGAATGGATCACTCTTTGAAAAATATTTCGGCCATATTTTAGAGAGAGAAGAAATGCTATTCTAAGTGTTCCATTAATATCATTTTGTGTATAGAAAATATCTATAATATTTTCTAAATATTATTGGAAATATTTTCTATAAGAAATATACAAGATTATTATTATCCCAATTTTAATCTTTATATTTTATACTACTATAATCTTTACTAGCATAAAGATTGTGGTAGACTCCGGCGTTCTTCGTGTGTCAAAGTTGGAGACCGAACGCTTGAACGGTTACGTTTGCACTTTCAACGCTCTTCCTACGACTTCTTCGTTTTTACCGCTTACGGAGAAAGGTATAAATTTCTTACTCACTATAAGTTTTAGTACGTGATTCTGGGCAAGATAATCATGTTAGGATGTTAAAATTTTTATATTCCGCTGCCTTTCCTTGCATGGTTACCTTTCAAGAAACCCGATTTCTTCTTCCGGGGGGATGGTGTTTTGTTGTATCGGGATCGGGTGGTTGTGCCAGTGGGGGAAGTAAGGGAACGTCTCCTTCGCGAAGCACATAGTACGGTATATACCATGCACCCCGGTAGTAACAAGATGTTCCTGGACCTCCGGAAGCACTACTGGTGGCCTGCGATGAAGAGAGAAATCACAGAGTTTACGGCGCGGTGCTTGACTTGCCAACAGGTTAAGGCCGAGCATCAGGTTCCGAGTGGGTTACTACAGCAGATTACAATCCCTGAGTGGAAGTGGGATCGTATCACTATGGACTTTGTAGTGGGGCTACCTTTATCACCTCGCAAGAATGATACAGTTTGGGTCATTGTGGACCGTCTGACTAAGTCCGCTCATTTCCTTCCTATACGACGAGATTCCTCTTTACAGCGGCTGGCGGAGCTTTACATCCGCGAGATTGTACGTTTACACGGAGTCCCTTCGTCTATCATCTCGGATCGCGACCCACGTTTCACATCACAGTTCTGGAAGATCCTACAGAAAGCCTTGGGCTCTGACCTTCATTTCAGTACGGCCTTCCACCCGCAAACGGACGGTCAGTCTGAGAGGGTTATCCAGATCCTTGAAGATATGATGCGTGCATGCGCAATCGACTTCGGGGTGGCTGGGAACGTTACCTACCGTTGATGGAGTTCGCATACAATAATAGTTATCAGGCTAGCATCGGTATGGCGCCGTACGAGGCTCTGTACGGTAGGCCGTGCCGGACTCCTACCTGTTGGATGGAGCTCAGCGAGAGGAAGTTGGAAGGACCAGATCTAGTTCGTGAGACTGCGGAGAAGGTCCAGGTGATTAAGGACCGACTTAAGGTGGCATCGGGCCGACAGAAGTCCTACGCCGACCTTAAGAGGCGTGACATTGAGTATGCAGTTGGAGACAAAGTCTTCCTGAAGGTATCTCCTTGGAAGAATGTCCTACGTTTCGAAAAGAAGGGTAAACTTAGTCCCAGGTTTATAGGGCCATACCCAATCATCGAACGGGTGGGGCCTGTAGCCTACAGGCTCGAGTTACCATCTGAGTTGAGCAAGATTCACAATGTGTTCCATGTGTCTATGCTCCGTAGATACCGGTCAGACCCTTCACATGTGATTTCCGCAGATACCGTTACTCTCGACGAGAACCTTACCTATGAAGAAGAGCTGGTTGAGATTCTGGCTCGCGAGACCCGCCAGCTGAGGAACAAGACCATTCCGTTGGTCAAGGTTCTGTGGAGAAGTCACACCGTTGAGGAGGCGACATGGGAAACCGAGGAATCCATGCGCACTCGTTATCCACATCTTTTCAGTGACCAGTGATCAGGTAAATTTCGAGGACGAAATTTTCAGTGACCAGTCATGACTATCTGATTCCAGAAATGCGAATGGATCTCAATTCAGACCCGTTCGGGGGAAAAGCGCGTACCGTTCAGGTCAGATTTTTATTTGGCGGAGTAAGTGAATATTTGTAACCCCCCATCATTTCACACGGCCAGCCACTCTGATGTACCCCTGGATGACTCCACCAAAATCCAAACTCTCCCAATATATCCAAAAGTTTTCTTTCTTTTCTTTTATCCAAAATAAAGTGTTTTCCATCCATTTTAACCCCTCATCGAAAATAAAAGCCAAAACCTTTGTTTCTTGTTTTTGTCTTTTCAAAAACCTTTTACCCAAATAATGCCTTCCCTTCTTTTCTTCTAATCCTGATTCTGAACCCCTAAATAATCGATTATCCTTAATTGATAATCGACTATTGAAGTCCGCAGATTCTTCTTCAAAGTCCATAACTTCTCATAATCGATTGTCAATAACTTGATAATCGATTATCCTCACCCTCAGAAAATATGCAGTTCCGAATGAGTCCTTGTAAATCGATTGTCTTGTAGTGTCAATCGATTATCGAGTTCCTCAGAACATTCCCAGTTTGAGCTAAACTCAATTAATCGATTTACTAAATGTGCTAATCGATTATTCCTACGTCTCTGAACCCTGAGTGAATGAGTGAATCAGTTCCTGTTTGCTCATCCTAAGATTGGATATAAAGCTGAAATTATCCCCTGATTTTTAACAAAG